ACACACTTGAGCCTGACTCCTTGATGAAATGTGCAGGACAGCCCATTGCTCCTAAATGTAGGTAAACTTCAACTTCTTTCAGATCTTTATATGTAGGGAGACTCACCTTTACCATCTCCATTTAAACATGCTTTCTTTATTTCTTTATTAAAATTGAGAAAGAAAAGAAGCTGGATGGTTTAGAAATAAATCTGTCTTCAATTAGGAGTTGTGTTAGAAACCTTTACAAAGTGTCAGATAGTTGGGCTGGCTTTAGGAGCAGTCTAGTTTGTGAAAAGCTGAAGGTGGTGAAGGAAAGCTGGGAGAAAGGAGAAGACTACATGTTTCAGGCACCCAAAGTTGTAGTTGTTTCTAAACCAGCACTAAAAAGATTGCTTAACCTGAGATGTACATCAGATACAATGCTATGATAGTGTAGAATCTGCCCCCTATGTGAAAATGTTTTCCAGGTCCACAAACAGCCAATACTTATGAAACTTCAGAAAACGATCTACTTGTAACTTAAAGGTTTTAATGAAAATCAAGGAAGGGACATTATGACTGACAGCTAAGGCTTAATAGCTCATGCTTGAAATTTAAATCACAGCTCATGTACTAACTGGATGTGTGAACCTGGACAAGTTATTCAAACTCTGTGCATTTCATTTTTCACATTTACTAAATGGATGATAAAAGTACCTATTATTACCTCATAGAAATGTTATGAGGATTTAGTTACATAATGGATATAAGTGCATATAGTATGAACATTTAAGCAGTAAATAGTAAGTTCTCTTGAGCAAAATATATAATCGCATAATCGAATAATGCCTGGTCAAGATCCAAATTCAAATTTTATTTCAGAGCTTAACCTTTGATTCTGTGTTTTATGTCTTTTAAAATGCATTGTAATACAGTAAAGCTGTTTTCTGAGGGTGTTCAGTGAGAAAGGTAATCATTGTGTGAGTCAAAGATTTTCTTATATTGTCTTCCTCTTCTCCCTGGAAGAGATGATAAAATCAATCCTCAGCCCTGATGTGAACATCACACGCCCTGACTTGGTGCTAACAAATTGTCTTCAGCCTTTTTCAAGCAGTGTCAGCTAAATGTGTCATTTGCTTAGCACTCTTCTTTTTGGTTATTTATCCTAAAAATAAGAAAATTAGTAAGCCAGAATTAGCCATTTTATAAAAACTGCATAGATAGACAGATTTGCAATCTTTATTAGGGTAATATTCCATCTGTTATGGAACTGGATCAATTTGTAAATTAAATTGATTAATCTAAAAGGAAAAAAAAAGGTCTTGACTTTTCCCACAGTAAGCATTTCCTCAAATGGTAGTCATCCAAAAAAATTTGGGAAGACTCAAATTTCCTGCTATTCTTCCTCTCTTTGCTCAAGTGGTAAAAAAGGCACAATATCTATTAAAAAGAGGTATGGGGTACAGTATATGCTTTTGGGTTCTATAGGATCTATCTGATTGCTCCTGGAAGTGTTATATTTTTGACAGGATTTAATATTAAAACCTTTTGATGACTACTAGAACATTTCTAATACTCACTGGTTAGTTTAGTAAATGTGTGACCGTGTTTGAATTATCTTCCGCACTTAGCTCGCTTTATTGTTATTTTCATCTTGTCTGATCAAAAAAAAAATCTCCTGATGATTCTTCTAACAATATGTGATTGGAATAATAACTTCACACGCTGAAGAGTTTTGTGCTGCAGCTGAGAGGCATGTAAATACAAGCTGCTTATTTGCAAGAAGCTTCCAGATTTGCAATATGATTGCTATGGAAACCACATAATGAAAACCTTATAACCATCTGTGTGGTTTGATGGATTTTACTGCATAGCTGAGCTGTTTTTGTTTACCATTATTAAAATGTTGAATATATTAACTCACAGACATTGACTATTTGAGGTATTAATTAGTATTGTATAATGACATTGTACCTCAACACCAAAATAAAATGTTTAGTAATAAACCTAAATAAAACAACATGTGAGTGTATATAGTTCTAATATAATGTAAAGGTGATTATTGCCTAGAATTTTGGTCACTTATCCTTACATTTTTTTTTTTTTTTTTAGTGGTGTGGAGAGCTTTATTCTGTTAATAAATCAATATGTTAGGATTTATTTTCATGATTTTTGAATCCATTTGCTCACTCTGTATTTATTGAACATCTCCTTTATGCTAGGTTCTAGCCAATATTCAGTCGAAGGTTCCTCCCACCTAAGATTCAAAAACATATACCAAATTTGATTTCATTATCTTTTATATGGAAAGCTGTTTGTATTGTTAGCCCAAGATAAAATAAGTTATTTGAATATTAAGAAAAATTGATGTATGAAATGCATAAGGCTTTGACCTAAAAATATCAGTAATAGGTTTGAAATGAAAAAAGGAAGTGTTTTTAATGAGTATCTTGTCTCCTAAAATACTGCTTATTAAATAGCAGTATTTTAGCAGTAAATACTGCTTATTAAATCTCACATGGATTTCAATTTGGATGCTTCACAGTAAATATTAATACTTAAGTAAATATTTTTAATATCATTATTCTGACAACTTAAGAATATATTTCTTAAGGACAAGGTTCTCTGACACCAATATACAATCCAGAGCACACATTATAGGCACTTAAATTTTAATAAAATAAAAATATTTTCATAGTAATAAATTCTTCTAAATTCATTGTGAACTTTACCAAAAAGCAGAGTTTTTCTATTTAATTATTGTAATTAATTTTTTATGGTATCTTGATGCTGACTTTGGGCGATGAGTCTAAAATTCCACAGTCTCTCCCTGAAAGCCAAGAATAGTGCTCACTGTATTGATGTGGTTGTGGCTTCTGACTGAGGACAAATGCCCTTAACTATTTTTTAATTTACTCCTTATAATGCAATTTGTAACCAAATTGGAAAGAAGGGGAGTGAGTGCTGGGGAAAGAGAACGTGTGAAAAGGAAGAATAGCTTTCTCCTTCACCTTTTAAAAATTATCTGTAAAATGAGTAGGTTGTGCTAAATGACTGTAATTGTCCCTTCTGCCTTTAAAATTTATATGGAAACACCTATTAACCCATTTATGATAACTAGTCCTTAAGGTTTGGCATAAGTGAGGTAACTATTATTAAAAAGAAAAGAGATGGGATTTAGTATTTAGTATTAATTACTGTTTGATGGAACCATATTAAATTGTCAGTGTTAGAGTCAACAATGTATATAAAGTGCTGTATATTTTCAACTGTTTCCTATATTGGAGCTTTCATTATTTTGTTTGAATTGAGTTACAAAAATTCAGAACAGTTATATTTGTCTTTTAAGCACAGTAACTCTCAAGCTCAATTGAAATGCTGATTTTGATTCATCTCCATTTAAAATTTGCAGGAGACTCTTGCATTTATACCTGCAGTCCTGGCCCTCTGGTCTACTGTACTTCGCAGTTGCCTCTGGGCATTTTCTCTAGGTTGCCCCGCCAGCACACTGATCTCTCTTGCCAAAAACGCAACTCCTTGTGTTCCCCCAGCAGGATAGATTATCTTGGCTGTCCTCTTTGTAGGAATATTATGCCCATTTCTCAGCTAACTAAGCTCAAAACCTGAGCCATCATTGGTTGCTCTGTTTTTCCCCTCACTCCTCCAAAACCAGTCAGGCATAAAGCTTATCAACTCTATTTCCTTTATCTTTCATACCATCTCCTTTCCATTTCCTCTGCCCCTTCAGTTCAGGACTTCCTTCCCCTTTATCTAGAGTGGTCCCCTTCCCTGACCCTCCTCCAGACGCCTTCTGTCAGAGACGATGGGGTCAGATGTCCATTGCCAAAGTATAGTTTCAGTTCTGCCCTTTATCTGCTCAAAAACTTTCTAGGATTCTTATTGCCCACCGAATAAAAGTCCAGCATCCATAACAAGATGTTCATGGTCCCCCAACAACTGGCCCAAACTACTAGTATTATCCCTCATACTGCTCTTCCCCATGAGTACCATATTCTTTAGTCAAGATGAATGTTACTGTGCCTTGTTCTTTTAAAGTTCATGCCTTTCCCTCTATACAGAAATATCCTACTTCCCATCTCTCACTGTGTAAATTCTCTCATCACACAGAGCCTTCGTGGTGTCCCCAGTGGGGTGGTTTCTCCACTGCGCTCCTTCAGTACTTTGTGCCTCCCCTGTCAGGTTTGGGCTCCTTTAGCCCATTTTCCTTTAGATCTTGTCTTCTTGTCTTCCATAACTTCAGGAAGAAATGTGATAGGAGCATGTGGAAAGAATATTAAGTTAATCACTGACTATATGTAGGAAAAAGAACATGGACTTTATAATCACAAACTTCAGTTTGAATGACACTCTTTGGAAGTTACTTCACCTTTTTTGAGTCTCTAAAAATTAACTGGTCTATAGAATGAGGATTTAAAAATTATTTATCTATGAAATCTTAACATCCACCATAGTGCATGACAGATAGTAGGTCCTCAGTATAATTTTGGGGGAATTACCTTGAAGAGCAAGGATCCTTCTGGTATCTTCCTGTGATGATTAAGTGAGAAAACATATGAAAGTATCTGACACTCAGTAAATGACTTATAGGTTAACTGTATTTTAAATGACACATTTTCTCCTTGCTATATTGACATTTCAGGGACCATGATTTTGTATGTGATACTCCTACCACACAGTGTAATGTAGTTTGTGGGTATAATGCTGGATGTTATTTTACCGAATTTAAGGGCTTTCGTGAATTTAAGGTTGTTTCAGACAAGTTTCCATAAGTATTTAAAACAAAATATGCAGTGCATTAGTACATATCTTAAATTTTATCGAGTCAGTTTGGAAAGAGCAGTTTATTTGTTCAGTGTTAGATTATTGAAAAAGGAATGTGAACGTTGAGTAGTTTCATTCTTTAAAAAGTAATATTCATGTGTTATAAACTTTTAGCTTTGCTCTTAAAATGGAGTGAGTGCTGTATCGTTACCCCTGAGGAAACCCTTCAGTGTGTCATTGATACTTTCTGTTTACAGAAGAGGAAGAGGACGGTGCTCTGGTGAAAATGGAAGAACAAAGGAAGATGAGTCAGGACAGTGTTCATCACACCTTAGGTAATGAATTGTGTAAATTCCTGAAATCTTATTTTGGTTTTGTTTACTTCGATTTTAGCCACTTTCTTACTACTCTAAAGACGTTTACACAGCTTCCCCGAAGTTGCCGTGTTTGGTCTGGGTATCTTATGGCTGATAAGCTGCTTAGTCCCATTTAGGATGCATGAAAACCACTTGAGAAGGATTTATAAAGTAAGCCAATTTATACAAGGTATTCCTTCCTGAATTACTTTGTAATGACTCAATTAGCTTTCATTTCTGCACAAAGGAGATTTAGTTGCATAAATTAGCTTATCATCATTGAGGAAGTGTCACTGCTAAAGGACAGTTTATAGATACAACATGCAGTTGCTGTCAAACCTATAAGAATGTAATATAGACATCTGTGTATACTTTGTGCTTGAGCAGAACAGACTTCTGCCATTCAGAGACTAACAGGGGACAACAAGTTGCCCAGGGGACTGGCAATGTAGACATCTCTGAAAAGGTCAACTTGACACAGGCTCTGACAATCGACCCGCAGCTCTGTCTTCTTTGATAAAAATCAGATAAACTTAAGACCGCTAATTGATCTGCAGCCTGTTTAAATGTTGGCCATGCATATCTTCATTGCATATGATTAGCACAGAAAGCAAATGAATTGGGTAAGAAATGCCAGAGTCCAGTGACAGCAGCTTAAAAATTGGAAAAGGACACTAGTGGCCTAGAAGGCTAGGAAGGATGTTCCCCTTATCCACTTCCACTTGGCAAATGGCCCCAAGTGCTAATTATGACTGAGCCTGGAAAAATAACTGCACATGCTATGTACAAAATCACATGATATGGACTTTTCTTGCTTGTTGTTGTTTCCAACTAGCAGGAGATAAACCATATCTGTAGTGCAAACATGAGGTTAGTTTTGATAAACCAGCAATTACTTTACACGGAAAGAAGAGGAGGACTGCCTTCTTATCAGGACTTTACACCTCTTCATAGCCACATTTCAGCTGGGGCAAGGTCTGCCATTCATCCCCGTGTCTTGCAAAAAGCTGGAGTTGGGGTCACCTTCCCTTCTCTGATATGTCCATACATCACTCTTGCAAGCTGTCAGAGGCAGGGTGGACAAGAAGTGTATGTTCAGGAAGTAGCCTTCCAGAGTCCTTCCTACTGTGACATGTGGAAAGGAAACAGAGGCCTGATTCTGGACCCGGACAGGAAAGCAGAAGCAGGTTGCTGCAGAAGCTTTTGGTTTGCTTTTTTCAGAAAGGAAGTGGGACAGAGTCATTAGATGTTAGCACTCCAGTCCTGTAAAATGAAGCTGTAAAACACCGAGGCTTAGTGAAACCTTGACAGTGTTCTATAGTAATTTAAGTATATGTGTTCTGGGTTATGTATCAGGAAGCTTCTGCCAAAAACAAGTAGTTTTCTTTTTTTAAAATTTCAATGCAGATATATTAATAGAAGGTAGACACATACTCTTTTTCAGGTACAAATATTTTGGCATAAAGCAATTAGATTTTTCAAAAATCCTTTTAATGTAACCATCTCCCAAATTTTTGCCATTGAGGGTAGGAGAAAAAAAATCAGTTTTCCTCAAAGGAATGCAATATGTAGATCTAGCTTTTCATGCAATAGCTATAAAGCACTGCGATAATTCTTATCTTTAGTGACATGAAATTCTTTTCAAGCAACAGTTTTATTGCTTTTGCATAGAAGTGACCTTTGCTCTTCCCTAGACTGTCAAAGATGTAACTCTAGAAGTTTGTTTGCCATGCAGGGCAGTGAGTTGACAAGGGTATTACTATCTTGCTGAGCATCACATGACATGAACTTCTAACCTTACTCAAGAATGTTATATATTTTTCACATTGACTGATTTTCCTAAAAAAAAAAACGAAACTGTTCTAATGTAAAATATGTAAGCAAAAACAAAATTAATCTTGTGTTTCTTACAAGTTTGTTCATGTTCAAGCTAATATATCTTGCAGATATGTGTATATGTGTGTATAAAGATTCCATTTGAGTTTTTTGAGTATTATAGAATATTCTTACCTTTCTAAAATAATTTTTAAATCTATAACACCCAGGGAGAGATTCTCCATTATCTTCTTGTCATTTGTTTCATCTGTTATCATCATGTTTTTTGTCTTTGCAAAGCATCTACAACGTTTATAGGTTTAGTTCATACTTTCATAACAATTGTTAGCTTCGCCCAATGATCTGTTCTTGTATGTTTTTAAAGGCAGAAGCAAGTACATTGTTTAAATCCTTCATAGGCAGGCTAATTTATTTTTTTCTTACTTACCTTCTTTTTTAATCATTTATGACTCTCAGAAAAATAAACATAATGTGATTGGTGATTTTTTTGTGTAATTTTGAAAATATAGATCATAATGTGGATAGAATAGAAAATTAATCCATGTGGTAAAGACAACTAAACAGACTTAATTTGTATTTCAAAATGTATATTTATGACACTATGCTTCATTCTACTTAAAAAATACATGTCTTACATAGATTATTTTTCAGTGTGTAGGTGAACGGTGTTAACTTTTGTATATCTACCATGCTTTTGAGGATATATCTATGCTTAATTTTTTGTGTATGTTTAACCACACTTTGAATTTTAAAAAGCAGACCAGAAAATCTTGCTACTCTCTAAGAAACAAGACCATTCCAAATTTTTATGTCCAGATTTCATATCAAGAATTTAGACATTACTTTCCTGAGGAGACTAAGGCTAATAAACATATACTGCCAGGTTTTCTCCCTAGTTGTGATTTTTCTACTTTATAACTAGTATTGCATGCTGAAATAGATAGAATAGTAAATCATATGTACATGTAGCTATGTGACATAAACAAATTATTCTTTAACAGAGCTCACATATGGGACACAGAAATGAGGTTGGTCTTTGGGTAACATCATCATCAAGATTATAGAAAGCACAGTCGAAAATGCATCTTTTTCCCAGTATTGCCAAATCGCTAGCTCTGTTGCCTCTTTACAGCAGTGAGATTTAATGAAATGCTCATGATGCACATCTAGGGAGAGATGCATCTTGCACACGGTGGGGGTCTCTCTTCCCCTCATGTGCTCCTGTAACTCCCATTAGTGTTAATGGGAGTTTCACCAAGCGCATCGAGGGGAAGAGAGACCCCAAAGTGATAAGGATTATGTGTTAGAAATCAACATATACTTTTCTTTCCTTCTTTGTCTCCCCTCCCTCTTGAAAATCTGCTGAATGGAAAACTATCGTAAGAGAATCTGAAAACGGGAAGAGCAGCCTGGACAGCTGGGGAACCCATTGGGATGCCACAGCTAAGCCAAAACCTCTCCTCTAGTTTTTAGCCCAAGTTTTGTTTCTTCTGCCTTTTTGGACCAAGCCTAAGGCTGAGCAGCATGGGGAACACACAGGAGCCTTGACTGGGGAAACCAGCCGTTCAGATCCTTTTACCTCCTGGCCGGTTGCTGTGGCGGAGGGCTTTGCATGTGAAATGATGTCATCCTCTCTTTGCTCTAATTCCCTGACTTTTAAACTGACACTGACGGACTGCATGGGGCGCAACATTTGACCCATTTAGCAGTTGATTTAATCTGACTAGAATGTTTCAACTTCTAAATCTCTATTTGTCTAAATAAGTGGTTTTTAAAGGAAATCAGTCACTTTATTATTAAGTGATTTTTTTTCTAAAAAAAAAAATTGACTATGTTTGGAGGGATCTAGCCAGCCAGAGTGCCCTCTAGTGTCCATTTATAGAATTTACTTAATATATGCTTTGGGGGGAAAAATGTAATGAAGGGTGGCCACAAGCATTGTTAGTTCTTGGTTGGATTCCCAGGCTTGTATACATCCCTGCTGGTATCAGTGATGAGTGCTCAAATGCTAGTTTGGAGAAGTCAATAAGGTGTCTTTCTCTATCTCTGTCTGCCTCCCTCCTTACTTCTCCCCTCCCGTTGAACCTTTCTGTCATTTTTAATTCTTAGAAACCTAGAGACAAAAATTTAATAGGGGAATTTTGCTAGGTTGTGTATTTTCTTACAAGTATAACTGAAGAGTAGCATTCTCCTTCCTAAATATTCAGACTCCATATTATGCAGATTCTCTTTTTTGGCTTTAAAAAATGTTTTAAATATTAAAGAGAATTTTTTAAAATTTCTGGTAAACTTAACACTTTGTATTAATCACAAACTAAGTGTAATAAGGTGAACACTATAATGATATGCTAATGTGACTAGTTGTGTTGGAATTGCCAAGAAGCCTGCTGTTTGAGAGCCATATAACAAAACTAAGATGACAACCCTGGTCCAGCATGTGTCTCCACAGTCATCCCCTCAGAATTCAAAGATGACATTCCAATGATGGAAGTTGTCAGCGCGTATATGTTCTGCCTGGCTGGTGAATACACGGACGTCTTATTGATATTACTTGCATTCTTTTTGCATTAACTCATCAAAACTCAATTATCATGAAATTAAAAACAGGAAACAGTTCTCAGTGTAACAAAAGCATCCAGTGTATTTAACTCTGTTCTGTGTTTCAGGAGACCCACATTGTATAAGTGACAAAGCATTTATTACCCAGTTTATTGTGGTATTACAGAGCGGAAAGCGCTAAATAATCAATCAGTTAATGGTCTGTATGGCAGTTTGAGCACATCACATCCATTGTGCTTATGCTGTTAGAAGGATGAGCTGATAACTCCAGTGTATGTTGCATGTTTATTCAGAGCCTAATGTCCTAAACTGGGGCTGACAAAAATCTGTTGAAAAATGCAGCTTCAGCATTGGCAATTTCAAAGTTGCTAAAGTATTATATTTCAGAGATAAGCTTGTGAGGCTTCGGGTACAAATGTCCCCAAAGAAAAGAGCTGCAATTACCCTTTATATTATTTCCACATTATCCACTTCCTTTAACCAGCTTTAGGTTTTAGGATTTAAAAAAAATTTTTTGTTCCCTAGTTTTGGTTTTATGTTTGTAGATTAGCTCCCTTACTATTATTATTTTTATGCAGTGTCCCAAATTCTGTGAGATGGTTATTGCACAGTGTGTGTGTCACATCTCACGGATGTTGGTCATTGTGAATTGTGGCAGACTCATCTTCAAAACATGTTGCAAGTGGGCTTAAGTGTGCTATTCAAAATAAGTAGGAAGCGACTTTTCGGTGCTGATTTGATGAGAACATGTTGCAATGACTGGTTTTAGATGGAAGGTAGAAAAAAAGATATTCAGAATCAGATTTTTGAAAATGGTCTTAATTAGAGGATAATAAGAAGTAGGATTCTTGTGTGGATGTAATAATATGGTCATTTACTCAGGACAGAATTTTTTAAAATTATGGTGATCTAGGGCATCCTTTAATTTCTGTTGATTCATTTTAAAATGAGGGATCATTACATGAAAGCTCTAACTCATGCTTTCTCTTCCTTCTTCCTAGGAGATAAAAGCACTGATTATGCTAATTTTTACCAGGGTTTGTGGGATTGTACAGGACATCTTTCTGATGAGCTGTCATTTAAGCGTGGTGACGTGATTTACATTCTCAGCAAGGTAAGGAGATACCCCAAAATGACAACTGCAAAAGGAGAATCCAAAGCTCGAATTTTAAATGCATTTGGATTTACAGCACTAGGGAAAAATGCCAGTTGGAATTCTTCTAGGTCCTTGCTAACAATTGGGAGTTCAAAATAATTAATTACTTTGTCAAGTGTGATATAATCAAATTTTAAACACAATCAGATAACAGGATTCAACTTAACAGTGTGTTTACCTATCACTTTAGCCCTTGGCTGACATCCACCCACTGCCTTCTCCAGAAACAATATACTTTTGCGAAAGTTAACATTGTAAGGTATTAGGTTATTTATTATGTTTTTCTTTTCCTCTTCCTTTTTATTCTTCTGTGTGCTTATTCTGATTTTGTCTGCCATTCACTACTGGAAACTGTGTTTATAGAACAAGTTTTTCATCTTTATGTAAATACATTGGGTGTTCCAACAATTTAAAAGCAATGCTTTTCTATTCAGATAAGTTTAGGTAATTTTTTTTAAGTTTAACATACTGTATTTGTAAACATAGTAGCAAAATATATTGCTATAAACTCATCTTGATATATATATGCATGGAAATCTTTGTCTTTGCTTCTTAAGACTTATACTGGACTATTCAGAATCTTTTCGTCCTTAGATTTAAAAATCAAGTTTCTTATCATGATTATACTTCTGATAATATGTGTGAGCTCCCCTAATTTTCATATTTTAATTTCCCCTACTGTAAAATGGGGATTTAAAAAATCCCCTTCTGTCTACTTTATGAGACTATTTTAGGAACAAATGATATATGGAAACAATTTAAGTATAAGTAGAGGACTATTAAATCATAAGTCTAGGAGTTTAATGTGGTTTCTTGATTAGAGAAATATTTGGGACTTTTCAGAGAGATAATATGACTTGTTAGATACAGAAGAGAATTTGGAAATAGGTCACATATTGAATTTTAACACTAGATGGCTGGTGCATAAAATCATAACTCAAAGAATCATAGAACGTTAGAGTGAGGGGTCTTAGCGGTGATCATCTATTTTTGGTTTTACAGATGAACGATCTTGAGTTAAGAAAGTGCCAGAGTCAGTACTTGAGCTAGGTGTCTTGACTCCCAGATCAGTGCTTTTTCCTCTGTTTTCTTTCTTGTACTTGTATCTTCTTTCCTCCTTCCTTCTTGCCTTCTTCCCTCCCTCCCTTCCTTCCTTCTTGCCTTTCTGCCTTCCTGCCTTCTGTTTAATTTGAAACTGTCATAAAGCATCCATAATGTGCGAGGACCCATTCTGGCACCAAGAATCCAAGAGGATTAAGATATCAGCACTTGCAGGTTATCGGGAAAACTCTGACAGCCTAAGGGGAACACCAACCTCCAGGACTGGCTGTGAAACAAGCAGTGTTCCCACAGGCATGTCTTACTGTCACCACTGCCTCAGGAAATCATTTTCTGTTAACATGAAATTAAAGGTATAATCATAGCTGTGTATCCTACTTTCAGGATTCTGGGGAAGGTAGTTTCTGTTCTCCCAAACCTGTTTTGTGGAGACCATAATTTTATTTGTGAAGCCTGATCATAGAACTAGGGTTAGACGTGGTCCAGCTCAAGGGAAGCATATACTTCCATCTTAAAATTTTAAATGCTGTTATTTGGGAGAGAGCTGACCAAAAATACGTCCTCCATCAGCCTTTTACAAAGCTTGAAGTTCTACCGTCACAATCATATTTATTAGGAACCTTCTAGAGATGAATATTTTACCTGGGGCTCATTTTGGTTTTTGCAAAAAGAGCCAAGAAAGAAACAGGAAGGAGGACCTTGTTAGCCAGCACATCATCACCACTGGCTGAATAATTATAGTTATCCTGCTGTGGACCTGGCAGAATCAACCTGGTAAATCTTGGTGAGGGTGAAAAGAAAGGACACTTAGCTCTCCTTTGATGGGATTTGGACACATTCTGGGCCATTGATGAGTGTCTTGGCTGTTGGTAGTCAGGTTGCTTTGTGAAGACTCTTACTTTCCTACCTCGCTTTGGGCGAGTTCAGATAGGAATCTCTTGATTCTCTGTAATAATCTTTTATTGGCTTGGCCTTCCAGTTTTATCAAAACTTTGGCAAACACAGACCATAAATTAATACCATAAATTCATTTAATATATGAATGACGACTGCAATTTTGAAAGCTTGGTATTATTATAACGTAAGAATTCAAGGTCTTTAATAGAAGAGAGCAAAAAAATTGCTCAAAAGGGCTTGTTTCTAGATCAAAGTAGGGCCAGTGTTATGTACGGACAGATTTTTTTTAAAGCACAATTAGGATAGAAATTGCTAGCATTGCTATATGCCTAGAAATTTGTTTAATCTTTCTCAGAGTTATATTTCATGGCGATGGGATGAAATTTTACCATTTTAATTTATTTTTTTACACCATCTAGTGGCTCAGAATGAGTGGTGCAGGTAATTGCAGCTAATTGCACAATCAAAATGGTGTCATAAATTCAACTTTAAATCTAGATATGGGTTATTACTTTCCTATCTCATGTAAATAAAGAATTAGAATTAATCATGAGAAACTGTGTTCATCATTCTGAATTAAATATACAAATTGTATATATAAGGAATAATACTTAAGGAATCTAATATAGTATTTGTGGAGGCATAGAAAATGTGTACTTTGCAAAGAAATTAATGCTATGAATTTTCTAATAAATAAAACCATTTAAAAGATTTTAAAGATATTCAACTTTCTTTTGGTAATGAACTAAATTACAGTTTGAAATATTAAATTATCATTGTTTGATTCAACTTACCTTCTAGAAGTTTGTCAGTTCTGAAAATGATCTTAAAAAGGCAACACAAAATAGTTTAAGAAAAGATGCATTCTTTCAATATAAATAAACATTTAGACAAATCAAGAAATAAAATGGCATGCATTATAATGAAAAGTGTTTCAATTTTGTAAATCTAATGGCAGAAAAACATTTAAGTAGTTTAGGGATTAGGTCGTCTTCATTAAAAAATCACTACAGAAATATACAGGGCATCCCAAAAGTCTCCATACAAAGGAAAAATTTTGTAATGAATATTTTGTAGATAGAGGTACATTTAGCTACAATTTCCCATTTTCCCTGTGTATGGTGACTTTTGGGACACCCGGTAGCTTTATTTTAAAATTCAGTTGTCTTTTTCTGTTTTGGTAGGAAGCCTTGATGGAGTGTCAGCTGTGCTCAGTCAGCCTGGGGGTGATTTATTTAGGCCTCTTTTGAGAATTATACAAATCTTAGCCTTTATTTTTCTTTTCCCAGTGAAAATTAAATGTTACGATAAAGAAAGAAGAGTAGACAGATACCCTGCCCTTCCCCCTCCCTTTTTAACATTTTCCAATTAGAAGCTGTCATGTGACCCCTAGCTGAGCGAGCCCCTCCTTCAAAGTATCTGGCATCTTCTTAGTTTTAACCTTTGAACCCTACTAATAATAAATCTAAATACTGCTTGCCTTAAAAGGCAAGCCAGTAACTTTTTGCTTTACAGTTCTTTTTATATAGGGTTGCTGCTGGGTTTTTTATGTGTTAAAATGCTTCAATAGTTCAATGGAGATTTGGAAATCTTTTTATCTCCTAAAAAAAAAAAAAACAAAAATGGAGCAAATTTACAAGGATGGATAAAGTGGAATTTTTTATTTTAATGACAGCTATATTGTTAGTAGATTAACTCTGAAATACAAGTCTTGGTTTTATATTCATTGATAGGAAGAAAATCATATTTGAGGTAGAAAACATTTATTTATTTATTAAGGAATCAGGTTTAAAATCATGCTATAATTTCTAAGGTAAGAAGAATTCTTGAGCTCCAGATCTTATAAAATTCATTTTGCTGAGAAGGATAGAATTGAGAACTTGAAATGCTAAGGCAAAAAAATAAATTCTTTTACTAGTTTGAGTTTCATTTTTATTACCACCTAAATAAAACATAGACATAATATTGTAGTTAATAGTATTTTCCTAGAAACATGTTCAGGAAATTTCATAATTTCAAGAGCAGGATCCATATTATATAGCAATAGGCACGTTGCATAGCACTGCATAAACCAGAAGGCAGTGCCAGAGGCGAGAGGGCAGAGGTAGCAGTGGACTGGGCTGCTTTGGAAAGGAGCCAGGATGCGGGGCCTGCTTGGTTTAGTTCAGCATTGAATAATCCAGGGTTTTCCAGAAGAGGAACAAAACCTTAAAGCACTAAGATAATTTTTTTTTTACTTAAAAGATGTGTTAGGGTGGAAACTTTTTAAGAATCTCAAATTGAACAATGAATGATTTCTTATGCCCTTTCCACCCCCACCCTCTACCTCAAAAATCAGGAACTCCCTTGGTGTATTGCAGCACACTTTCACCCTTTTGAAATGTCTCCCTCCTCATCCCTTTAGAACGTGAAGCTAGATATTCCAGGGAAATTATTAGGCATGAGACAGTAGAGATAGACTACTGATTAAGAAAAATTTTAGAGTAAATGTTTAATCAATTATAGTTAAGTGACAGATGTTCATCATTGAATGTTTAGCTATCTATCAAAGAATGATCAGTAAAATTCTAAGAAAAGGTTGTTTCTCAAATATTCTCATTGAAAGATCAGATTCCCTTTGGAAGAGTCAAGTAGAAACCTGCTCGTAATATTAATAATCAGATTGCCTTGTGCATTCCAGAGTACTCTATTTTTTGTTGCCCTGATATTTTGTTATACCAACTAAGAGACAGTGGGTAGGGAGAGGAGGGAAGGAAAAAGCATTATTGAACACCTACAATGTCCTGTTGTAGGCACTTAATATGCTTTCACTCATGTAATTCATATGATAAACTATAAAATATATGCTGTTATAATTTTGCAGATTAGGAAACTGATGCTCAGTTTCCTAATTTTTATGGAAATTGCCTGAAGATACCCATGTAGAAAGTGCCTTTTCCAGGCTCATTGCAGGTCTAACATCTTTTCTCTTTCCACTTTGCTACACTTAAGTGGGCCTTGAT